AATATTGATGGTCTCAGTGAAGATCAGATCCTTCAGAAATTAAATCATTTATCTATGGTCGCCAATAGTTATCTCAGTAATTATCCCCAATATTCTCAACCAGAAATTGTTTCCTTACTTACCTCTGGTTTTACTGGGATGCTCAAATCTTGGTGGGAAAAATACCTTACCGAAGAACAACGTGATTCAATCATATCTGCTAATCAAACTGATGAAAATGGTCTACCTATTTTTGATGAATCTATAGGATGTTGTCACCCTGACGGAATCAACCAATTAATCTATACCATAGTGCGACATTTTATTGGTACACCCACCAATATATATTCCCGCATCCATGATCAACTTAGTAATCTTGCCTGTCCTACCTTAAGTGATTTCAGATGGTATAAGGATGTATTTACCTCTCGAGTTATGCTACGAGACGATTGTACTAAATCATTTTGGAAAGAAAAATTTATTAATGGATTACCTAGTTTATTTGCTCATAAAATTAGAGATGTTCTTAGTCAACCCACTGGCGTTATTGAATATGATAATTTGACATATGGTGATATAATTAGCACTATTCAAAAAGAAGGTTTAAAAATGTGTATTGATCTTAAACTTGCTCAAAAAGCTAATAAAGATAAACATAAAGCCAAATATGAATTAGGCAATTTTTGTGAACAATATGGTTTACCTCCTGTTGCACCCTCTCATAGGAAATCACACAAATATTCCAAAAAGAAACATCAATCATCATACAAATATTCTCATAAATATAAAAAGAATTATTCACCTTCAAAATCAAATGATAAATTCTATACTAAACCTAAAAAGAAATATTATAAATCCAAATCACACCCAAAATTTAAATCTACCAAAGACGTTACTTGTTATAACTGTGGTCAAAAAGGTCATTACTCAAATAAATGTAAAGAAAAACAAAAGTTAAAAGATAAAGTTAATCAACTTCAAATTGATGATAACTCCAAAAATCAATTATATGAAATCTTTCAATTAAATCAATCTCTATCTCATACTAGTTCCTCTTCTTCTGAGCATCCCAATACTTCGTCCGATTACCAATCACCCAGTGAAGATTCTGACAACAATATTAATATAGGATGTAATGATGTTTGTTGTAAACCAGTTAAACAAATTACTGTTCTTACCAAAAACACTCAAGAGGAATCAGCTCTTATTGACCTAATCAGTAAATTAGATGATCCAAAATTAAAACAAAAATATACTGACAAACTCAAATCTTTATTCATTCATTCTGATAATAAAACTAAGTTTGACAAACCAATAATTAGTTTAACCAAAACTTTAGAACGATTTAAAAATAAACAAAAGGAAGTTACGTTACAAGATTTACAACACGAGATCAATCAGATTAAACTAACAATCAAAGAATTGCAACATAAAGATAAAAAACTTGAAGATGAAATTATTACTTTAAAACTTGATAAAAGTTTAGATAATTTCCAAACAAATGAGCACGAATCCCCACATGAATCTGAACATGAGTCTGATCCTACTCATCCTGATAATTTAATATTTGACAATCGATCACACCACTATCAATCCAACAATCCTGAAGACAAACGGTTAAGTCTAATTAATAAACTTTACATTCAAAAATGGTATTCTAAAATTAAAATAATTGTCAATGATTTTGAATTAGAATTAATTGCTTTAATTGATACTGGTGCTGATTCAAATTGCATACAAGAAGGTTTACTTCCTACTACATATTATGAAAAATGCCACGAGAAATTAACTTCTGCTAGTGGTACTAGAATGCATATCAAATATAAATTACCAAAAGTTCATGTTTGCCAAGATAATGTATGTTTCAAAACCTCTTTTGTTCTAGTTACCAATATGACTGATAAAATTATTTTAGGATCCCCATTTATCTATTTATTATATCCTTTTACTACATCTAGTACAGGAATAACCACGCATGTTTTAGGACAACCTGTTACGTTCAAATTTTTATCTCCTCCTGAACTCTTACACTTAAACCAATTAAAAGATTGTTCTATTTCTCATCAAATTAGCCGCTTGACTCGACATTTAAAATTTCTTAAAGAATAAATAAATCACAAACGCATTGACCAACAATTAACTAATCCAGTTCTTGTTTCTCAAATCAATGATTTTAAATTAAAACTTGAATCAACTGTTTGCTCCACTTTACCTACTGCATTTTGGCATAGGAAAAAACATGTAGTTACCTTACCATATATTAAAGATTTTGATGAACGTCATATCCCTACTAAATCTAGACCAATTCAAATGAATCATGAATTACTTGAAATGTGCAAAAAAGAAATTAATGACTTACTACAAAATCGAATCATTCGTCCAAGTAAATCACCATGGTCTTGCTCTGCTTTTTATGTTAATAAAAATGCTGAATTAGAACGAGGTGTCCCCCGATTAGTCATCAATTACAAACCTTTAAATGATGTTTTAGAATGGATTCGCTATCCTATTCCTAATAAAAAAGATTTAATTAAACGACTTAGTCAAGCCGTTATTTTTAGTAAGTTCGATTTAAAAAGTGGTTTTTGGCAAATACAAATTCATCCTAAAGATAGATATAAAACTGCATTCAACACACCCTTTGGTCAATATGAATGGAATGTCATGCCATTTGGTTTAAAAAATGCTCCTAGTGAATTCCAACATATCATGAATGACATATTCAACCCTTTTAGTCATTTTTCCATTGTTTACATTGACGATATATTAATTTTTTCAAAATCACTTAGTGAACATTGGAAACATTTAACTGCATTCTTTTACACAATTAAAAGTCATGGTCTTGTTATTTCTGCTCCTAAAATTAAATTATTTCACGCTATTGTCATTGTTATCCTAAACACCATCATTATTTCATTACCACTACCACCATAGTCTCCACTGTTGTTGTCACTACCGTTACAACAACTACTACAACACTTCACATCCACAAATATTGTCACCCGTAACATAACTACCATCATTGCAATATCTATACTACATTACCCTTCTACCATCACCACAACCATCTCCCTGTTTCCACCACCATTGTCAGTGGCACGATAAGCACTATTGCTGCCTCCACCACCACATCACAGTCACCAATTCACTTTTACAATATAAAATTAAAAATTATAATTTTTAAATTTTAATATCATACATATCAAACAAATTTTTTTAATTTATTTTTAATTTAGTATTTAAATTTTGGATAAATTACAAATAGACTCCGTGAGATTTGCTTAAAGTACGATACCACTTATAGTTTTGGAAATTACATTATGTTCTTTGAAGTTTCTAATTTCATAATAAATGTCATCTTTTATTAATAAATTATTTAGTCAATTAACAGTTTTTGATGTCAGAAATTTATTTCAATTAATAATTCAGGTAATTATCATTATATAAGATAACAATTGGGAATTTTATTTTTTTAGTTAACTCTATTAAATAAATTTTTTTTTTTGGCAAGGAAGTATTTGCAATTTTTCAAATTACAGGGAGCAATCCGTATTTTAAGCAAATCTTAAGGGGTATATATGTAACTTACCCAGAATTTTTTATCATTTTTTTTTTCTAGTTTAACAATTCAGCATTTGATTTTTTGAAGTTAGTTTTTCAGTTTTTAGTTTTATCAAATATCACCTTAGACTCAATTTGTTTTGACGTAAAATACTTTATATTAAAAAAAAGTTTTTATTTTTTTTTATGTAAATTGATTTTCTACATATATATATATATATATATTATTTTCATTGGCGTTCATTATAAATTCTAATTGTCACATTACTCAACTCAGAATTTTACTTCCAGACAACTAAAAATTTGAATAGTCAATTTACATAATTAAAAAAATTAGTATCACATTACTCAGCTTTTATATTGGCTTTTATCTTTGCTAATGAAAACGTATTTTTTAAAGTTTTATTTATTATGATTTTTTCTTAGAATTTGTTACTCCTTGTTGGAGTGTGAAACAAATTTTTGCCCCAACAATATACAAGCAAGAATGTATAAATAGCCTTAATTCTCTTGTCATTTGAATAGCATGTGTCATGTTTTTATAAGGAAAATTATATAAATTTGTTCAGCTCACCAGTGAATTAATTTCAACCAATATTAAGTGATCATTTTTCTTAAAAAAATTCTAATTGGCGTTATCAATTACACTTAATTGATATAAAATTTAAAATTAAGAGTCAAAATCAAATTAATTGAAATTACAGGTATCAAATGAATGCATATATTTTTTTTTTTATATAAATTTTTGAGAAAATATCATTGTCTTCCAAACTTTCACGCATTTTTCAATTTGACCCTTAGACTTCGTATAATATCAATTTGCCTCCCAGACTTTTGAAATTTTGATCAATTTAGCTCATATTGTCACATTCCGTCTACAATTGAACGAAATGTGATGAGCTGTCCCCCTAAACTATTATTTGGAGGAAATATAAAAGGGCGATGCTTACAGAATGAGTTGGTGTGATGAATGGTTGAACTAGGGTTTTCTTGGGATCAAAATCAAGTTTGGGGTTTTCAAATTCCTCACACCAAATCAAAATCAAAGTTCATCATTCAATGAAGGTCATGAACTAACATTGAATGATGAGTTAGGTTCGAAGAGAGAAGGATGTCAATCGAAGAAATGGAGCACCTATTTATGGTATTTATTTTTAATATTTCTTTATTTGTTTATTTAATGATTATTAAAAATCGATTTGTGATATAATCATAATTTGATTTGCCATTTTTCTAAATAAATCTTTGCCTGTTTGTCTTTGAAATGGATTTGTTTAATTGGAACTGTTTTACTTTAATAGTGTATTGGTTTAATAGTGTACTTGTGTAATACTGTATTAGTATTAGTTTAGTAGTAATTTTATTAATCTATTAGTATAATCAGTCATTAATAGCATCATTTTTTTATGTAATACTTATTAAAAATCGATTTGTGACATAACACTAATTTGATTTGTCCTTTTTTTTTTTTTTAAATATAAATCTTTGTGTGTTTGTCTTTGATATGGATTTGTTGAATTGGAACTGTTTTACTTTAATAGTGTATTAGTTTAATAGTAATTTTATTAATTTATTAGTATAATCAGTCCATAATTGCATCATTTTTTATTTTAAAAATGCTGAGAAAGGATCCCGTTATTTCACAATCAAAATGCATCATGAGCGTGTGGTTAGTTATAATCCAAAGAGGGTTTATACTGGTGGATTTATCAGTTATTTTGACTTTGGTAATTCTGAGATTTCTTGAAACAAGGAGCACCGAGATTGCTCCCGTTGAAGTTTTCGCTCAAGCCTCATCCTTGTATTTGGTTAAGCTGTCCTTATCGAGAGTTGTGTATTTGAATGCATGCTAAATAGTGATTTTACTAAAAGTAGTACATTTCTATGGGTACCTCTAGTTTTTGAAACGATTGTTTGATCTCTGCCTTTTGCTTCTCGATTCAAGATCTCGTTCTGTTTCTTGGTCTTTGTCTACTTCTTTCTTAGGAGCGTAGTTCCCTCTCCTTGCCTTGGCGTACAGGTAGTTTCCACTGATCTTTTGACTTGCGCACCCTATCCTTGAGGATAAAGAAGGACATGAGTTGTGCGTTGTATGCCCGCCTCCTCAATGACTCTATAGACACAACTCCCACTGACGTTAAGGGGCTTCTTTAGATCCTTCTCCCTCATTCTTTAGTTACATACACCGTCAGTTCCTTCCTATCCACCCGCGCACTTCCTTGTCGTGTATCGGTGGGGTTTGTTTTTGGAAGAAGCTGGAGTCTATCAATTCTGGAGTTGGGTAATATGGCCAGGGAAGTGGGCTATAGTGGATGTAATATCTATTATTATAAGGTTAATGATTTTGCTGGGTTGGAGTTGATTAACACTGATCAAGATGTAATGAGGTTGGACACATTGGTGGATGGAAGCAAAGTAGTAAAGGTTTATGTAGGTTGTTTAGGAATGAATATTATAGGAACCCAAGTTAGTCAAGTAGGGTCAAGTGCAAAAAGAAGTCAGAGAAATGGAGTACTTGTAGATGTACAAGTATCACAAGAGGAAGAAAGTAATGACTATGATCGTAATCCCTCAGACTCTTCCTCATTTAATAAGTCTGAGAAATATGAGGACAGTGACTATCGATTTTTTGACAATGATGCATTGTATGAGGCTAATGTTGACAAAGATGTAGAGTTTTTTAGTGTAAGAAGTAGTAAAAATGTAATGGCTGAAGGAGTTGATGAGCTAGAAAGCCTTAGAAGCTTCTTTGATGAGCTAAGAAGTATTGACAGCTCATCTGATGAATTCTCATAGGACTAAATACCCTATTTTTAATACTGAGGCTGATATGCACAATTCTAAATTCAAATTTGGGATGGAGTTTAAGACCCATGATCTATTTAGGGATGCTATGAAGGAGTATGCAATTAAGTGGTGCAAACATATAACATTTACCAAGAGTGACAAACAAAAGGTTAGGGCAGAGTGCAAAAGTGGTTGTCCTTGTGTTTGTTATGCTTCATATGTAGAAGGTGATGGGGTGTATAAGATCAAAACATTTGTTAATGAACACACTTCTAATAGATCTTTTGATGTGGCACATGTGAGTTCCAAATGGGTTGTCAAGAGGCACTTTGAAAGAATAAGGTTAAATCCTACATGGCTAATTCCGTCATTGGCAGACACAATTGCAAATGAGCATAATGTCAAGGTTGACTTACAAAAAGTGAGAAGGGCAAGAAAATAGATGTTGACATTGGTAGAGGGTACTGCAGTTGAGCAATTTGCACTGTTATGGAGTTACATTGAGGAGATTAGGAGTCGTAATCATGGGACAACAGTGTGCATGAAGGTGAAATAAGTTCCAAAAGTTAACGATGGGAGTAATGCAGGGGTTTATGATGGGAGTAATACAAAGTCAAAGTTCAAAAGGTTGTACTTGTGTTGGAGTCCATTATAGAAAGCTTTTATGAATGATTGTAGGTCAATGATAGGTTATGAAGCACGGGTGCGGGTACATATATTGGTATAGGTACGTCGATACGGCAAGACCTAAAAAAATAGGATACAGGTACGTCTGGGGTACGCCAATAAATTTTTTTTATTTTTATTTTTTATAATTTATAGTTTCAAATTCAACCTAGAATCAAAGTTCAATACCAAAACTAAAAGGAAAAATTAAAAAATCAAAAGAGAAATCATAGTTTAACAATACCAATACCAAAGCAAAGTCCATAAACTTTCATTCTAAAAGCAAGCTAAGTAAAATTTGAAAACTTGAAATTTCAATTTTTACTTCCATCAACTTCATCATTGAATAATGCATCTTTCATTTCTGGTACATCAAGTAAAAGATTTGCAATGTCAAGTAAATCAGAACTCTTTAATAAATTAAATGTATCTCCACCAACGTTCCATAGTTTAGTGTACCCCCCATCTCGTACCCACGAAGTATCCACAAAGTACCTAATTGTCAAATAATGTATAAAAAGTACCCGGAATGTATTTCGAATAGCTAGTACGCATGCAGTCCTATCGGTACGAGTACTAGTACCCAGTAAGCACCTGATACGAGTACGATAACATTTTTGGAGTACCCATGCTTCATAGGTGATAGGAGTGGATGAATACCATTTGAAGGGGTCACTTGGTGGTATTCTCTTGACTGTAGTTGGGATAGATGCAAACAATTGCATATTTCTATTTGTTTATGCAATTGTTGAGAAAGAGAAGAAGAAAACATGGTTGTGATTTTAGAGTTACTAGGACATGATCTAAATATTGTAAATTCTCATTGTTATACCTTTATGAGTGATAAACGTAAGAGTTTAATTGATGCAGTGGCTAAGTTGTTTCCAAATGCTTCACATAGGTTTTGTATGAGGCATTTGTACAACAATTTTAAGGGTGAACATAAGGGATGGGTTCTGAAAAATCCATTGTGGAAGGTTGCTAGGGCAAGTACTGTTCTTGCATTTACTAGAGTGATAAAAGAGATTAAAGAATTTAATTGTAAAGCATACAATTGGTTGGTACAACGACCACAAATTCATTGGAGTAGGAGCCACTTTAACACTTTTCCGAAGTGTGACATTTTACTGAACAATTTGTGTGAGTTCTTCAATTCAAGTATCTTGCAAGGTAGGAGTAAACCTGTGGTGACAATTTTGGAGAAGATTAGGTTGTTGTTAATGGAAACAGTTCAAAAAAGAAGACATGCAATGCAAAGGCATAATGGTCCTATATGTCCTACGATTCAGAAGAGGCTGGAGAAAATGAAAGTGGATGCAGCTGGACGGATTCGTGGATGGATTCGTAGATGGAATTGCAAGAGCAATTTGAAATTGTAGGGACATATGGAGAGTAATACAATGTGGACTTGCAAGCTTGGACTTGTGGCTGCAGGAAGTGAGATCTGTTAGGCATTCCATGTGCCCATGTTGTGACTGTTGCAAACTATTTGGGTCAAGAACCAGAAAAATATGTTCATCAGTACTATAAGGTGGAGACTTATTTGAAGATCTATGACAACATGTTGAGTCCTATTAATGGTAGAGAAATGTGGCCAACAACTGAGTATGCTAAGGTGCTGTCACCTGATGTGAAGAAGAGAGCTGGGAGGCCTAAACTAAATAAAAAAAGAGACTGAGGCACCAATTGAAGGAACAAAGCTAGAAAGGCAGGGCACTCAAATGACTTGTAAGAACTGTGGGAAGGTGGGACACAACAAGAGAACTTGCAAGGTGAAAGGAATATTCAACTACTTGTAACAAAATGTAAGTTCAATTAATGTTTATCAATTTTTTTTATTTTATTTCATGTTTATCAATATTGTTAACTGCTGTAATCATGTTTGTCAATTTTGAAGAGCCAGCCTAAATGGAGCCAACCTCAAGTGAGCCAAACTCAGGGGAGCCAAGCTCAGGGAAGCCAACTTCAGAGTCAAGTAACTGTAAAAGGAAGTGAGGTCAGGCCAAACAGAAGATAGAAGAAACTAGCTATAAGTGTACTCTCTTTATATATATATATTAATAGTAACTTTTCTATATTTGATTGAGTTTAATTGTGGATAGTTCACTGTTATTGTAGGTTAAAAGGAGAGTGGTAAAAGAAAGTTAGTCAACTCCATCTTCAATGAGTTTAACCACCACACCAAAGGAGGGTCAAATGATATGGAGAGGCAAGCTAGTGTACAATGCTAGTGCCCTTAAAACACAATCCACTGTACAGCGGAAGGATGCACCTAAAAATTAAAGAAGTGTTTTTTTTTTTTTTTGTTTTTGGATAGTAATTAGTTTAGATAGTAATCGATTTTTTGGAAATCCATAACAAAATGAAAGTATAGCTATTTGGTGTTTCTTGTTTATGGATATGTCTAGCAATCAACACTGAACATCACTACAACATTAAGTCTTTTTGTACATTTACTTTTTCTTTTTTGTTTGGAATGGTTGCCCTAAACATGTTAACTTTGTAAAGGTTGTGTTTAAATTGTCATAGACAATTGTTATTGGTTGCCCTGAACTTGTTTACTATGATGTTCTGTTTTTTGGATGGGTGCCATTTGATAGATGGATGTCATTTCATGCTTTATTGGTTTTCATTTTTGTTTTTGGGTTTTATGGATGGATGTTTTGGTTTCATTTTTGTTTTTTGGTTTTGCGTAAATGGTTTTGGTTTCATTTTTGGTTTTTGGTTTTCAGTAAATGGTGATGGTGTTTGATGGATGGATGTTTTTTCACCCTTAAAAAAACAGAGCATCACCATTTAATTTAAAAAAAAAAAAACGATAATATTTTCTCCAAATGGTGTGATGCTCTATTTTTTTAAGAATAAAATTTACATTTAAAATACTTCTCCCATTACATTTCATTGATAATATTAAGTACCCATTACATTCATTCATGATATTAAGTATCCATTATATTCATTCATAATATTTCCCCCACATTCATTCTTACATTTTGTTAGAAACAACATTCATACAATGATGCACCATGAGGTAACCATGTACATCCATAGCTTTCTCTCTCTTCCATTCCTTGTCTGCAGTCTTGTTTCTAGCTTACTGATCTTCTTCAACAACCCAGGGATGATTTGCACTGCCTGTGAACACATAGGCACGTCTGCCCAGGTGAAGTGATTGTAGCCACTATTGGAACAACTGAGGAACCTCTTACCAGGATTTGCATCAGTCCATGATGTTTATATTATCCTTTGTCTTCCACAAAAGATGCACATCACGTCTTCCATGTCACTTGAGCTCCATTTTCCTTTAGTTGAGCTCTATTTTCCCTGATTTCTTAACCTTCTATTCCTCATTCTCTCTTTAAAAACAAAGCTTTATTTTTTTGGGGCTTTTTTGTGTTAAATAGCAGAACGGGAAGCTTGGATATGGCAGGAAAGACTTCAATTTCCCTCCAAATAATAGTTTAGGAGGACAACTCATCACATTTCGTTCAATTATAGATGGAATGTGATGACAGAAGCCAAATTTATCAAAATTTCAAAAGTTTGAGGGGGCAAATTGATATTATATGAAGTTTGGGAGTCAAATTAAAAAATGCGTAAAAGTTTGGAGGGCAAATGATGTTTCCTCTAAATTTTCTTATAATTGAATTGACCACGTATTTATGAATTGAATTTTCTTATAGATCAACTATTAAATATTGTCAAATCTGCAAACAAAATGAAAATGATTGTGTGTTTCAGCACAATAAAACCCCTAGTTATTAACATAATACTTAACACAAGACATGAGGCTGGAGAGAGAGATGTGAAACATAATACTTAATACAAGACACGAGGCTGGAGAGAGAGATGTGAGACTGGAGAGAGATAGATAGATAGAGAGAGAGAGAGGCAAGGAAGGAGAGAGAGAGCTCAGGTTAAGGCAATAGTTTAAAACTCGAATGCTTCTAATTCGATGGCTCTATTTCGAGGTTGGATCAAGTTGGGATGCCTTTTTGCATAGTTACACTAAACTAGGATGGAAAACGATTTGACCTGATATGAGTTAAACTTTTGAGTGTTCAAATTTGTTTATTAAAAACAATAATGTTTGGGAGCTCTAATGATGTGGAGAGCGCCCATGTGATATGGAGACCTATACTCCTCTCTCTACTTTCTCTCTTTTCCACCTCATTAGAGCTACTATTTTAGAGTTACATATCACTACTCTATTAAAAATTATAAATGAGTTTTCGAGCTCGGCTAATCAAATATTTGAGAAACTCAAATTTGGTTCGATCCAATTCGATTACATAAACAGATAGAGTTTGAGCTCGAGCTTGAGATTGAAAAAAAAAAAAATTTAAACTTAAATTAATTTATTTATTAAGATTAAAAAATAAAATAATTATGAGCAAAATATACAAGAATGCTTATATTAGTAATAAATTTCATCAATCAAATATGCAAATTTACACAAGTACCAAGTAAACACAAATAGAAAATAAAATAGTTTATTGAAAATTTATTTGATATATCATTAAAATTATATATATATATATATATATATATTTATGTTTACAAGTCTTATCAAGCCGAATTTCGATTACTTGAGCTTGGCTCAATTAATAAAAGGCCCTAAAAATTAAGCTCAAACGAGTTGAACTCAAGATATTCTTCAACAGTTTGGTTCATTTGAAGCCTTACCTTAAAACTTGTTGAGTTTTGCATTTTATTCATCAAATTCAAACCTAAACTATTAAATGCCTCCCAAACTTGCCTATTAGGGTTGGGTTGCTCCAGAACTCTTTGGGTTAGGAAGCTTGAAAAAGAAAAAAAAAAAAAAAACTAAACTGTGTAGGAACAAAATTGTTTATTTAATTGCTATCAATCTGGACCATTTTCATTACATTGAGGCTCCGTTTGTTTTTCTGTTTTCATGTAAAATGATTGTCCAATTTTTTATTTTTTATTTTTAATTTTTGGTGTTCAGTTAACATTCAAAAATATTTCTATGACAAAAAACTAAATAAAGAATCAATCACGGAGTAAATTTTAAAAATAAAAAAGAAGAAGAAAGTAAATCATATTCGTACATAATTTTCAAGTAGAATTGAACACAAATGATGTGGTAATGTCACTCTTACAACTATGAACTATAGCAATGTGAATTTTAATTTTCAATGAGTAGATATAATGTAACAAATCATTATATATAGATTTTTTGTATACAAATTTTCATTTGTATATCATTACTATTAAGAATAAGTATCTTGGCAGAATAAATAAGCTCTGTCTGGTATTGGTATACAAATCAATAGAGCTAATCATGTTCCTTGAGTTTAATTCTAGCTTTAGATGCTTTAATTTTTGAACAAGTACGAATCCAATCCATCCAGAAACAGAAGTGCTGCTCCAGATATCAACAAAGAACTTGGAAAAGCTTGGATGAAGAGTGCAAGCATTTAAAAACCTGAAAGGTTTGGGGCCCCAATCTCTTGCATCTTTTATCATCAACAGAGGGCAGCGATCTGAAATTAATCTAGGCAGCCCCCATAGCTTCATTCTGAAATTAATCAACCACTCAGGACCAAGCAGTACTCTATCTATGTGACTCAATTTCTCAGATTCCTGGGCATTACACCAAGTGTATTTCCTTCCATAGAGGGGTAAATCATTGAGCTCACATTTCCCAATAAACTCATTAAAATGTTTCATCTCCCTGTCCCTCCTAGAGCAGCCTACCCTCTCACTTTTATGCCTAATTTCATTGAAGTCCCCACCCATGCACCAAGGAGTAGGGAAATGGTCCTTAAGCTTGAGAATATCAGCCCATAAAGTTGATCTAGCACTGATATCATTGGGTGCATATATGTTGATCAAAACACAATCAAAAGAGTTATACAAGGAGCTAGAAAGTAAGATGTACCTCCTATTGCAACAGCAACTAGAGAGTTGGAAAACAGTAGGGTCCCAAATGCATAGAAGCCCACCAGCAGAGCCTTCAGGATCCACATACATGTATTCCATGGCATTGATGCTATGATGCTAGTATGCTATGCTCTGGTTGCTGCTATGCTCTATGCTCTGGTTGCTGCTGAGTTAGATTATTTTGTAGATAGGTCTGAATGGTTGTATGGCATTGATGCTGGATGCTTGAATGGGCTGTTATGCTGTTAGGAGTTGCCTTTGTGGTGATGTTTTCAAGTTTGTTTTTCTATCTGGTTTTTGTGTATTTTCGTCTTTGTCTGATGTTGTGGCAGTATCTTTTGCTCTCTATTTTTGTTGGTTCCTCACCAACTGGCGCTTGGAGCTTTGTGTTAGCTCCAAGCTCCTCTTTATTGATGTAATCTATCATACCTTGTATGTTTTCATCAATAAAGATTTTCTTTGTCGATCAAAAAAATTACTATTAAGAATAAAATAAGAAGGGTTTTTTTAGTTTAAGATCGCTAGTAATATTTTTTTAGAAAGATAATGACAACACAATTTTCTATATTAGTTTAGGTCCTCCAAAACACATGGTGACAAAATTCTATAATGTTTTTTTAAACTCATTTCAAAATTTCAAAATACTATAACTTTTGATCTCCATATCTATTTTTTTTAATTTATTTATAAAATTTGTATTTTTTTGAATCATGTCATCAAGATCTATAAAATAAGATCCATAATGAATATAAAATTCTAAAAAAAGGGTGATGAAATTTCACTGATCTAAGACCGGTTATTGAAGTTTTAGTTGGTTAGTGAAATTTTGATGACCAAGTTAAGTCAATGAAATTTCGATTGGTCAGTGAAATTTTGATGACCAAGTCAATGAGTCAGTGAAATTTCATGAATTTTGTCAATAGGATTCTAAAAATATAAATTTTACAAAAAATGGAAATGTAAATAAAAAGTTATTAAATTTTAAAGTTTTGAAATCACTTAAACAATGTAAAAAGTGGGATAAGAGACCTAATTAACCTACTAAAAAAATAACATTGACGGATCTTAACTAGAAAGGAAATTTATCTTGAGTCTCTCCTGCTACCCAATCTACATAGAAGATGTATTACTAATTTTCCGATGATTGAATGTAACAAAAATAATAATTCTAAAACTTAATTCCAATAACTTACTCAATCATAAAATATGAATATGAATAAGTGTGTATATATATATATAGAGAGAGAGAGAGAGAGAGAGAGCAAAAAGACGTTGAATGTGTATAAAAATATCATTCAGAAAAAAAGTGTATGAAAATAGTGAAACTTGATATTTATGTTTAGTAATCATGACGAGGGAAAAAAAAAAACTTACAAATTTTAAAATGTAGATCATTTTACGCTTTACAATTAAAATACTTCACTTACTTTTGATCAACCAAATAACCAAAACTAGATTAAAAAAAACAAAAAACAAAAAATTTAAGCAAAACAAAACGGAGCCTAAATCAAATTAGAAAACACTCATCCTCTATAACTATAACAATTGTGTCGTGAAAAACTGAACGAGTTCATTGCATTCAAAATATCCTTTTAATGCATAAGAGCATCTTCACCCAAACTTTCAAATTTGGATATGCCAATTTTATTTGAAGGTTTGGATGGCCAATTGACATTTACCAATTTAACATTCTTGCTCTCCAGCCAATATGCCAAAATTGACATGCTCAACAACATCCCTTCAAATCCAAGTCAACTTTTGAAGTATGGGGTGGAGCAGAATTTTGGAGACAATCATTACCGTTGGTGTGCCAAGTAAGAGTTGGCACACCGGGTTGGTAAAGAAAATTGAACAATGAAACATGCAATGAGAAAGTATCAGGGCCGGCCCTGAGTTCGTCGGGGCCTAAGGCAAATTTTGAAAATGGAGGCCCTTTTATATTGAAAAAAAAATTCATGAATAAAACTATAAGTTACAATTTTTTTATTTGTTTGTAACCATAAAAAAATTTACTTATACATATAATCATTAAAATTATAAATAAAACAATTTAATAAAACAAAATTAGAACAAAAAAATTAAGAAAAAATTATTCAATTAAAATTGATAAAGACTTAGGTAAAAAAATTTGAGTAAAATTATTTATTCCACTAAAATCTAATAGATAAAGAAGGTAAAAATAAAAAATAAAAAAAATAGGGCCCATATATTGTATGTATTATTTTTCTTGAGCCCAAACACTTTTTTTTTAATATATATTTTCATTTTAATAAATATGGACCAAACTACACTTATAAATAAATATGGAGTAAATCATACATGGACCAAAAAAAATATTTTGGGGCCCTTTAAATTGATCCTAAAACCAAAAAAAAAAAAACATTGAGCCTATAATATTTTACCAAATTTAGGGGCCCTATTTTATATATGTTTATATGTTTTACCAAATTTAGGGGCCCTATTGTTTTTTATTTATTTATTTATATATTTTCATTTTAATAAATATGGGCCAAACACATTTATAAATAAATACAGGCTAAATTATACATGAGCCCAATAAAACATTTGGGGCCCTTTAAATTGATCTTAAAACCAAAAAAAAAAAAAAAAAAATTGAGCCTATAATATTTTACCAAATTTAGAGGCCCTATTGTTTTTTATTTATTTATTTATATATTTTCATTTTAATAAATATGGACCAAACTACACTTATAAATAAATATGGAGTAAATCATACATGGACCAAAAAAAATATTTTGGGAGGACGAGAGAAATCATTTTGAAGTAATGTATTGTGATCTTCAATGGCAAGTGATAAGTACTATACAAGAGTAGTATTTGATTCGATTCCTTCAAAGGTAAATTGATATTATTATCAATACTATTTAAAATTGTCCTTAGCGATACGGATATGTATGTTACCAAATATTAATTTCTCATAGCAATTTGAAAAAAAAATTTTCAAATTAAGTTATAAAAATTAGTGTAAAAATTTCAATTTACGTAATAAAAAAAAAGTATTTTTTTGAGATGAAAATAGTAACTTGTTATTATTCTAAATTTCTCAACCTTTTTGTGACATATCTATTTTACGGTAATTAAGTATCTAGCATTATTAAATTTATTCCTACGAAGACAATATATATGATGCATGCATATGCTTTAATTAAAGAAACTTCATTCTACAAATTTATAGAATTATTAAATTATTTAACAAGATATTATTTTTTAGAACTAATTAATTTATTTACCTACTTTAAAGGTGGTTCAAGCATATCTTCGGAAGGATATGCTATCATAAAAATAAAAAAAAGATACCAGCGTTAGGTATCACTATTTGACAACAATAATTAGGGATGGCAAATTTGAAACCGGCCCGACGGGGACCCGACCCCCCAATCCGAATGGAACGGTTTTTTTCCCGAAAAAAACTCCCCACGGGCCGGGGACGGTGATACCTTTCCCCAGCCCCCGGACCCGCCCCGGCCCCGTCCCCTGTTCCCCGTTTCCCCGATAGGGAAATTACAGTTATAACCCTCCATATAATATATATATATATATATATGTTTCCTATATGAAGATGTAAACACTACCAAATATTCTGAATCAGTTTTTTGATTCTCTCTCTCTCTCTCAAACCTTGCCTCTCTCCGATCTCCCTCCCTCCTTCCGACCTCACTGTCACTGCCTCACCCCGACCTCCATCACTGTCTCCGTCCGATCTACCTCACGCCGATCTCTCTCCCTCCGTCCGATCTTATGCCGACCTCTCTCCCTCCCTTCGATCTGCCCTCACGACGATCTCTCTGCCTCCCTCAATCACCGGCCTCCCTCCATTCCGTCTGAGCTCAGATCGCCGTCGTTGTCCCTCCGATCTGCCTCTCGCTCTGTCGTCTCATCCTCCATCTGAGCCTCTAATGAAGATGAAGAAAATGATGTTTTAGATTTTTTTATTTTTTATTTTTATTTTTTTACATTTTGATGAATATATATGCTCTCACAGATCTGTTTGATGATTGTTATTATTGGATGAGTTGTGTGCTCAGATCTGTTATTGTTGTATGTTTATGTTGTTGTTGATTTTTTTTTTAAAATTTTAGCTGAGGAATTATCGGGGTCGGGGGAAACCCGATCCCCGTTGGGGACGGGGCGGGGGTGGGTGGTAGGCTCCCCGTCGGGGATCGGGACCGGGGATGGAGAAATTTCTACCATCGGGGATCGGGGACGGGGGAGTGTGATCCCAGGGCCCCGCCCAGCCCGTTGCCATTCCTAACAATAATACAACAACAATGCTCAGAGAATGGTCAGTTTTTTTTTTTTAGTTTTTACTTTTTTTTTTCATATCCGAAACTATACGTCCTATGAAGTTATGATTATATAATAAAAAATTCACATAAATTCACAATCAACCTTAGGGCCACAATCAAATAGGGCAACTATTCTTCCATTAATTAGATTTTAGCTTTTACTTTTGTTTTTTCATTTTGTTTTTGCTGCTTGTTGTCGTGGATGATTTGCTGGCCATTGCACACACTGATTGATGCTCTGACTTTAGCCAATGGGCTTAATGTTAGATGCATTTTTGAATTTCTAATACTATACTTGAGGTCGTATTTTGATCCAAGGAAAAGTATGTTTTCTAGTCTCATATATATAGAGTAGAGTTTGGTGAACTTGAAACATGGTAAGTCCTAGCCTAGGCTGATTTAGTATTCCGTGTTTGTTTCCTTTTCTTGATTGGGAATGGGAAAAAAAATCGAAAAAGGAAAGAAAAAACATGGAAAGAACCTTTCCATAACTGGCGTTTAAACTTTCTTTCTAGTCCAAGAATTCTCTTCCATTAGGTCACTTAGGCTAAAGAGTGGCTATCGATTTTATAGCGATCCTGTCACGACCCAAACCCGCCCCTTCAGGTTTAGCGTCGTAACCGGCCAGTAATCCTGGGATTACTGTAAGGCCTCTAACCTGAAAAATCATATAAGTAGAGGGCTGTGGAAGCAAATACACAACATATAACGTCCATAGAGCTGTTCTGACATGCATGAGACAGATAATTTAAAACTTCGTACATATGTAAGACATAACGGTCAAAAGGGTCA